TCCACCCACACCCTCTTGGCACTCCTCCCTGCCATGTGCGATGATCCAGCGGCATTACATTGAAGCACCTGCAAATTATCAGGATGGCTTGGTCTAGCCACTGACTCCAAAATAGCCCCCACACGGGGCAGACCAGAGGGGCAGATGGTTAGTGCCCCCCCACCAAGAGCCCTAGACCGAGGACTGACAGGAGCTGGTAGGCACTCCATTTACCTTGCCTCTGGATTAGGTTGTCTTTGAAGTGTGTTTTATGCTGTCATCTAGAGTTCTTCAGCAGGATTTAACCTGAGCCAATGACAGCGATAACCTGCCAGATAATGCATCTTGCATCGATTTCTTTCCCTTTTTGGTCTCATTTCCACAGACTCCTATTTCCTGGAACCACCACTCAAATAAGTCATTTGCATTCAGAAATTTGAATGAAGAAATGTTTGCTCCTGGGGAACCCAACCTCAAACAATATGTATCTCCCTAGGAGGAATGCTGCCCCTTTAGGACCATGAATATGTTTGTCTTATTCACCATTCTACCTGCAGTATTAGCAACAGCCCAAGGCCAGCACTCAAAAGGTGATGAATAAACGTCAGTTCACTTTGTTCTCTCCTCTGATGCGTCTAGAGTTAGCTGCCTATGACTGGTCCTACGAGATATAATTAGTAAGCTTACTCTACCACAGTCAGGATGGGCTGCACACCTATCCAGTACTTCTCTGAAAACAGTTCTGTGCCCATGGCAATCTTGCTCCATTATCGTTTAAATTACACCCACACAAACTATTGGAAATTATGGCACATATCCTTTCATATGAGCCCTTGGACTTTACTAAGAGTTTTCGATGGCCAGGATCTCCGACCTTTCTTCACCATTGACCTTCTAAATTTGTCTCCTTCCTCTTGACCCATTCTATGGCATTTTGAAACTATAACAGCATATGAAACTACAGACATTATAGCATGGTGGGTAAGTATCCACATTTTAGACTCAGATGGCTCCCACTTTAAATCCCGTCTCTGCCACAGACTAAGTTGGTGACCTGGGGATAGTTATTCAGTTTCTATTAAATTTCCTTCCATGTAAGATAGGAATAATAGTACTTATGACACAGGATTATTTTGTAGATTAAGTAATATAATGTATGTATAACAAATGATCCTACTTGTATTGAGGAAAATACAAGAGAATAAATATTATCATTTTAAACATTTTTTTTTTAAGAGAGAGAGAGAGACAATGGGGAGGGGAAGAGGGAGAGGGAGAAAGGATCCCGAGCGGGCTCTATGCCCAGCATAGCGCTGACACAAGGCTCAATCCCATGACCCCAAGATCATGACCTGAGCTGAAATCAAGAGCCTGACACTTAACCATCTGAGCCACCCAGGTGCCTCAAGAGAATAAATATTATTAAAGGATATAGCTGAAGACATTGACTGCTTGCCCCAGGTGACATACTTCTCCGGAAAGTTACTGAACCATTCCAAGTTATTTAGAAAATAACTCCTAAAATTGTACTATGATTGTTTCCCATATATTCTTACTCAAAGACCTTACCTCTGTTGGCCACTCCCTCAGATGGCCAGTACCTTGAGGGATTCCTAAATTTAAGTCTACACTCCTCTCAAAGGCAAACATGGTTGTTCCCAGGCCATAAGTAAGTCCATAGAGCTGAGCTGTAATACTGAGTTCCACCAGAGGCGGCAGCTGTTTGACATCGCCCTACAATGTAAGCTATTTCCCAACTGAAGCTCTCAGTGAGTGAATGCCCAAGAAAGCAATTTTACAAATTGAAAATAGATTTATTGTGTTTATTTGGAGAGGCGCCTTGCAGCACGGCTCTTGCTACATTCCACCAGAGAGGAGCAGATTTGGGAATGCTTAACGATCCAAATAGTGGTATATAGGACTCAGAGGAAGGCTTTCCTCCCGAAGCAGTGCAGACTGTGTTGTGTTTCCTCTTGGGTTGTTGTGACAATCAGCCGCATACCAATTATAATCCAGGGTTTGTAAACAGCCAGAAGATTCCCTTGGAGGGAGTAATTATATTTCCTTGAACATATAAGGCAAACGCTTTTTCTTAAACATGCTATGTGCTGACTGCAAAGTAGATTTACTTTACTGATGCTAAAGGAAGCCCCTCAGGATAAAGGCAAGGAATCTTGGTGGGACAGAGATATTAGGAGGCCAATAAATGAGCAGAGAACATAAACAATGCCATGGAGTATTATCATTCAGGGGATGAACCAGCTTGGCCCCTTCAAATAAACGTGCCTGATGAGATGTTAAGAGCATTGATGTTAAAACTTAGTTTCCTCTTCTATAAAGTGGACTAATGCTTACCTAACAGTTATTCTGAGAACCTCATTATAAAACATGCCTGAAGTGTACAGAGCAGTAGATACCCCAAAACAATATCCTACACTGTAGATGTTGTCAGCCACAAACCCATATCCCCTTCGAACTCACCATCCCTTCTACAAGAAAATAGCTTCCTAGTTCTCTGCCTGGGGATTCTCTCAGCCCAGGTGAATGGGGCAGGTGGGAAGTGCCAAGGAGTTATACTTCCAGGAATAGCCCTTAGCCAGTCTTGCAGAAAATTTAGTGGGAAATACCCATTTCCTTGCTTTTGGGTAGGACAACTCTGAGGCTTGTTTCACAAGGGTGTCCTGTGGGTTTGAGTCCCCTTCGTCCCTGTGCTAACCTGCTTATTCATGCACCTCGGATTGGCTTCTCTGGCTTTCCTGTCTCACTTTCCTCCTTCCTGATGGGAGCTTCCTGGGATGACCTCCAAAATAAATTGCTGGCACTCAAAGTCTTGTTTCAGGATAGAATCCAGCCTAAACACTATATCTCACAATGCAAACAGACTTCATAACTTGGATAACTGGGTTCACAATGACATGTTCACTATTCACTAACCAGCACTGTCTATTCAGCTTCCTATCCAGTCCTTCTTCTATCCCACAGCCACTGCCTCAGTTAAGGCTCTTCTTATTTATCTATTTGTTTATCTGTATCTATCTGCACCATAGTCTCTAACCAATCTCCACACTTCCAGTAAGTCTACCATCTAATCCACCACCCACTTACTGCCAAAGTTACTATCCTAAAATACAGTAATGTTATTCCCTGGTTTGTTTGTTTTTAAGACTTCAGTGGCACCCATTGCCTCCATGATTTATGTCTTAAATCTTATAACGTCATATGTAAAACACCTCAAAGCTGGTTCCAACCAACCTTTCAGCCTAGTCTCCAGTGACTGCTAACCACAGCTGATGGTCAGACCACACAGAACAAGACAGTGTCTTCTCCTTCCACCTGTCCCCTTTCCATGTGTTTGAATGTGCTTGTGATCTTCCCTGTCTGAGGAACCTGGCTTATCATTCAAGGTCTAGCTCAAACTTCTTCACCTCCATGAGGACCTCTCCGACTCCCCAAGCCAGTTCCCTCCTCTGGGCTCCCACAGTAGCATGTGGATTCACTGGCTCATTCATTCACTCAACAAAGGTTCTTCTGAGCAGTTTCTACTATGTACCAGTTATGTGCCAAGCCCCAGGGAAACCATGCTGGATAAAAGCAGAAATCACTCTTGCCCACATGAAGACCACAGTTGGAAAAAGCAAACAGACATGAATTATCAGGTGATCATACAAAAGTTCATTACAAACTGCCATGAGAGTTTAACCATAAAGGATGCAGACCCAACCCATAGACACAAGGAATAGGTGCTTAAGTTGAAAGTGAAATAGAAGATAACACCACATGAAGGAAGTGGCACATACATTCCAGGCACAGGTGGTAGGAGGGAACACAATACTATTTTTGAAGAATAGAAGAGAGGCACAGCGAGAATGGAAGGAGAGGCACTTACACCATTCCATTCACTGTGTCATTTATATTTGTTGGCTGTGTCCTCCCTGCCTCATGCTTGAGAATAAGCTCCTTAAAGGTAAGGACCATGCTGTCACTGAAAGTCCTATCCACCCCAGCACTTAGCACAATGCAAAAAAAAAAACCTAAGTAATGTACCCATTTTATGGATGAGGGAGTTGAGGATCAGAAAGGTTGAGTGAGTTGCCCAAGGTCCCAAAGCTGGCAGTGGCTGAACAGGAAGTAGAATATACCTCCATCACTCCCCCACTATAATTTTTCTTTAAACAGCCACAAGGCAATCTCCCTCCACCTGCGCCCTCCATGGGAGGCGGGGCACCATCCAGGGACTTGAGCCGGGGGCAGACGCTTAATTGACTGAGTCACCCAGACGCCCCTAAAAGTTCAAGTTTTTCTATAAGCTCCTTTTCAAAAAGCCAGTTACTGGGGTGTGTGTGTGTGTGTGTGTGTGTGTGTGTTGGGGAGGGGATGAAAACTGATCTTCTGGCGGTCAAAACAAAAAAAGGACCCTTTTCTGGTACAGAATTCTTTTCTGAAGCCTCTTTGATGGCCAGAAATGGTGCGGGTGGGGAGAATTAGTCATCATAAGAGGATCCTGGTGATGCTTGGTAAAGAGCATCAGCACTGACCCCGAGGGTCTGCAGTGAAAAGACCCTGGTTTAGACTCCTCAGGGGAGTAAGTGGGATTTCTCGTTTCCCGCTTCCCGAACCTCTTCCCCTTTCCAGCCGGTACCGGCAATTTGGGAAACAGCCCCCTTTCCCGTCTACCCCGCTGGCCCCCGCAGATCAGCGGGAGAGGAGGCAAGCCAGTCTCCGGGAGGCATCCTCCAGGCCCAGACATTCGTCTCTGTCCATTTCAAGGCGCCCAGCCTGCGCCGTAAATAACAAAGTACTGCGCCTACCGCGGAGGACACTGCGTCCTCTCTGCGTGTTTTATCCACGAATCTTGGGCAAGTCTAGGTTCTGGGGCTGCGATCAAGAGCCCGATTTGAGACTGGCTCTGGAGTTGGAGTCAAGGCTCCGCTTGGGCAGGGAAGAGAGGCAGGGAGCAGGAGGGGTGGGGCGGGTGGGGGCGCGGCTCTTGCGAGGATTACGGCGGAGGCTGTGGACCTTGGCGCGGCTCGCAGAGGCTGCAGCCATTGCACAGCCGAGCATCCCACATTCAACAGGAGGAACCCGCGGGAGAGGAGCCCGAGCCCCCTGCGCCCAAGCAGCCGCAGCCCGTGCGCCCCGCGCCCCCGTGCGCAATGGCCAAGGAAGGCGTGGAGAAGGCGGAGGAGACGGAGCAAATGATCGAGAAGGAGGCAGGCAAGGAGCCTGCTGAGGGCGGCGGCGGCGGCTCTCACCGCCTCGGGGACGCCCAGGAGATGCGCGCCGTGGTGCTGGCCGGCTTCGGGGGGCTCAACAAGCTGCGGGTCACCAGAAAGGCCATGCCCGAGCCGCAGGACGGCGAGCTCAAGATCCGCGTCAAAGCCTGGTCCAGTATCCGCGTCTTTCTCGCTTTCTCTCTTTGCGCGCTCGGCGCTCCCGGGGCGGGGGTGGCGGAGCCTCCGCGGGGCCGCTGCGCGGGTAAGAGCGGCCGTGGGCGCCCCCTCCGCGCCCTTCCCGGGTCTGAGAGCCTCCCCGCGGCCGGCGGCCGGCTGACGCTGAGGAGGATGCTGCGAGGTGGCCCTCGCCCTAGCCAAGCCGGATCTAGGGGTGACCGGAGGGGGCTGTGAGCTCCTGCGAGGGGAGGAAAGCGGTGGATGGTGGTGCCCAGCACCCGGGGTCTGGAAGATTGCGCTGCGGGGGCTCTCCGTCGGGTAGACAGCTCAGCTGCCAGGAAAGGGAGTTTGATTAACACGGTTAAAAAAAAATAATAACCGTCGGCTTACTGTGTACCAGCCTTCGTGTTTAGAGTTTTATGTGTGCGATCTTAATTTAATACTTCCTGGGACCCGATGAGTTAGGTACCATCATTATCTCCCGTTTCAGGTGAGGAGACCCGGGCTCAGACAGTGATTTGCCCAGTATCTCGTGGCAGCTACTAATTGACCTGGTCAGGATTTGCTACTCGATCTTTTCAGCCTCTGTGCTGTGGTCCTGCTGGGGCTGGCAACAGAGTGCAGGGCTGGGGAAGTGCGTTTTCTCTCCCCACTGCTGCATTCTACCCCTCTGGTGCCCTGGTAGGGAGAAAGGGTCTGGGAAGCAGGGGTTAGGTCCTGCAGCATCTCAGCTTGGTGAGGGGTGAGGCCAAGGCTCCCTCTTCCCCACCAGTGTCTTCTGTGCTTCTCCAAAGTGGAAAAACAAACAACCGGCAATCTTCTCAGAACTCCTGCCCCCATCTCAAACGGAGCTCAGCAATCTGAGTGTCCTTCCATTCCCCACTCCTCCTGGGGAAACTTCAGAGTTATGCCCAGCTGGGATTCGCTCTGGAGGGCTTAAGCCTCTCTGTGTGCTGTCACTATATGATCATTTCTCTGAAGTTCTAGGAGGGAGGGCTCACCCCAGGGGGTTCCCTGGACCCAACGCTCTGAGTTCTTTATGCAGTAGCGTGGGAAGTGCCTAAGGGGAGCCTGCTCTCCGCACAGTTAGATGGACTTACCCTTTCTCATGTCTGTGTTTTAAAGGCAATAGACTCGGCTCCGGAAAGGAGCAGTCAGCTTACCTGTTCCTAGGTTAGACCCCAAACCTGGACTCTGCGACCATATGCAGAGGCAAGAAAAATGCAAAGGAGATTCTCCTCCCGTTCGCTGCTTTGAGAGCAGGTGCAGGATTCACATGCCAAGGCTGGAAGGCAGCTCGTAAGAGAAGCAGGCGCTGGTTTCTGACTCACTCCTCACACATGTAGCAGGTCACAGTTGCCTCTAAACATGACTCTTGGGAATTCAGGGTAAGGGAAGAGGCTTTTGCAAATTGGGGGATCCTGTACAGTTCCATTTTGTTAACTCTCGTGAACCAAGCTGATTGATCCCAGAAGGCAGGGCTTGCGTCTGCCCTTTTCACCAACAAATCCCCGATGCCCAGCATAGCATAGCATAGTGCTTGGCACACACTATGTCCAACATCAGTTACTGCTGAAGGAATCAGTTATTGCTGAATGAATGGAGTGAAAAAGGACGCTTGAGCCAGGATTGTTGAGTCCTTATTTTTCTTCGCTTGCTGGTGGAGGAACGTCTACCTCGTAAAACTAAAACTATATAGTGATAATTTTCCTTAGCCACGGATCAAAAATATTTCATGTGTGTGTGTATGTGTGTATAATTTATGACTCTCCATCCAGGGTATGTTCAGAGAGTGAAAATGTTGAAGTTACTTTTTAAAGAAAAGAGCATCACTTGTGGTACAAATAGGTCTGGGTTCTCTAGTCTTAAGCTAATTACATAGATACTGATAGGAACTGAAGCATTTTGAAATAATAAATGTCAAGATGAAAGCCAGGAGATTGCTTTTCAAAGCCAGATGCACAAGCCTGTTCTTCCTTGGAGCTGTACACATACACACACACACACACACACACACACACACACACACACACGAATCACTGCAGATTTCCCACCCCGGTTGTTCAGAAAGCCAAGGAGGCATGGGGGAACATTCGAGATCCAGTATTGCAAAGGGCCCAGATTGATTTTTGTCCTCCCACGCTGGAAGCAGAGTTAATCAGTTTTGCAAGGGGGTACTGAAGTAGGTTTGTGAAGATTGTCCGGCCTTTCCTCCTCCACTGGGCTAGGATTGGCTGGCCAAAGATGCCCACTGATTGTAAGTTTAGCCTTGGGAGCCAGGATGACTCATTCTGTATTTTTATGAATCATCTGATGGCTTCCTGGATGCAGGTCCCCCTTTTATCTGCTCTCTATTTTTAATGGAAACCTTTTATCATCAAATAGGATATGCTGTTTGCTTGGCAATAAAGCATAGTCCATCTGAACTAGTATTATTCAGACCTGGAATGAAGGTCCAAGTTGGTTACTCTATAAATTTTATGGAAATGGAGGAGAAGAGGTACAGAGAAATACATATTTTATTTCATTTACCCCCTCTCATTTATGGTCCAATGAGATAGGTATTATGGTAGAGCAAATTGAGGCTTGGAGATGTTGAGTAATTTGCTAAAAACATCACAGAGACAGTACAGTTAGGATGTGAGTCTTGGCCTGTCTCTCCTTAAAGCTCTGCTGTTTTCCTTTTATTCTATTTTGTCTCCCTCTGTGGAAGAGCCACAGGAAATGTGATTTACCTCTCTGGACATTTGGCATACAAGCTTGCTGTCCTTCCTTTCTTCAATGAGTATGGCTCCTTTGATCTTTTTATGTCTGACTTAAGAGAACATTCTCTGGCTATTACCAGAGTAATATGGCTTTTCTCTCCCAAATGGAGACATGATGGTCAAATGCAGCTCAAAAAGAACCACTTTAGAGAGTGCAGGGTGGGAGGGATTGCAGAGTCTTCTAATTTGTTTCAAGAGCATCAGCTTTGCTGGGGAACCCCTTTAGTCAACTGTTCACTGAGCAATATACACAGCAAGCGATTTAAGTGGCCATGCAGAAAAAGCACGTGCCCTTTGGAAGAAGAAGGATCTGGATGTAGACCCGAGCCCCATCACTTCCTATCTGTGTGACCTCAACAGACACATCTCAGCTTCTCCTAGCTTGCCGTGCCTCAACTGCAAAATGCAGATAATGCAATGAACCCCATGTTATTGAGAGGATCAGATGCAACAAAGGGACTGGCACTAAATAAACAGTTGTTGGGGCTGTCGTCATCATTGTTGTTGTATCTATGCCTCTATGACTTACTTCTTGACAATTTGATAACTTGGAGGCCATCATTGAAATCGTGTTTATAATATAGGCAACGTCATGCACATTTGCTCCATGATGAAGAGGGAGACCTTCCTAGACCTGAGTCCCAGCCCTGCCACTTGCTAGCCATATGTGTTGGGTCTTGCCCCCTAGAGGCAGAGCCCAAGACAGGGATGTGTTTTAAGTGGTAGATCGAGGGGGTGTTCTCAGGAGAATGGGAGCAAGGGGAGCAGGACAAGGAAGGAGCTAAGCAAGCATTTCGTCTCCCCTGGATCCCACCAGGAGTTCTGGAGCATGGATTGTACCATAGAGTCAATCTGACCTTGAAGCAATAGGGGAAGCCCTTGTGCCCCCTCACACCCCCGTTCCCAGCCCCCACTCCCGTCGTCAGTCGGGTATGGGCAGTGGGGGCATGGAGCCTCTCAGGCAAAGGTGGCTTCTGTTTGAGCTCCATTCCTCTGGAAGAGGGATGAGGGTTAGGGTGCCACATTGAGCCAGGAGCCACCAGCACTTCCAGCAGTGGGGGGATGGGTGTACTGCCCAGGAAAAAGGGATCTGAGTGAGGTGCAATGCCCTCAATGCTGGCTGACCTTGAACATGTTGCTTATTTCTCTAAACTTCGGTTTCCTGGTCTATAAAATAGAAATGATAATAGCACCTCCCTTTACAGTGTTGTAATGGCGCTGAAATGGGATCCAGTGTATAAAGACCTTTTTGGTGATGCCTGGCGTATAGGAAGTGGTTAATAAATGATAGCTATTATTATTTAAACTATTATTCTTGGTTTCCATAGCTACCATGTACAGTATATCATTCAAAGGGGAACTTTTGGGGTGTTAAAGGGGCACTGATTGATAATTACTCTGGAGCAGGAGCAGACTAGAATTGTTCTAGGCAGACTAGGGTACATACATGGTCCCCCCGAACGGCTAAGGGTCAGGTCTACGCCTTTGCCTCAGAAGTCTTGTCACAGTGAGACATCTCTTGGACGGAAGCTAGGAGGATTTGAGGCTGAGGGTCTCTAGACTGGGCTGCAGAAATATATTTAAGTGGCCATTAACAAGCCTTGTCTGGTTTGTGGCTCAAATTGGCTTGTGATGGAAAGGCACTAATGGATTGGGGACATTTATTTTCCCAGACTTATTTACAAAGAGAGGCCACATGAAACTGCTAGAACGAGAGCAGTTGGATGAAAAATGGTCCCAGCCAGTCATGGCTCTATTGGCTGATCTGAAAATGGGCTGACGGCAGGCCACACTAAAGGAAAGCCAACATACGGTGGGATTCTAACATATCGCAGGGGTAGAGTGCATTGGGCTAGGGGAGGGAACTAACATTTGCCGAGCACTTGCTAGGAGCCACAAACTGAGTTGCCTGCTATGTACTTTGTTTCATTTTATCCTAATGACAACTCAATAATAACAGTATTACTATCTCCATTTTAAAGATGGGAAGCTGACATTCAGAGACATGTGAAGATCACAAACTGCTAATCCAAGTCAGCCTGTTCCTGGACTCTTTACATTTGGGAAAATCAGAAAGACTCAGTGACAAAGGCACAAGAGAGAAAGGACTGAGAGACCAAGTGGTGCAGACAGGCAGACAGACACCAAGACTGGAATCAGGAATATAAAGAAACATGTATGCATTTGACTGATGTGAAGTATAACTGATAAGACTCAAAATGGTTACA